ACCTCCTCTCCTAGGTTCACAAAACGGTCGTCCATAAAATGCTTTGCTGTTCTGTTGTAAGTAATCTTAAAGATTCCTAAATGCATCTACTTTTGGAAGACCAAATAAAGTGCTTTTGCTTTCGCCTAGAAACACACAGCGTCTCCCTGACATGGCTGCTTCAACACTAACTGTGGTTACTGAAACCACGCCTTCTTTCTTTGCGTGCAAATTTGGGCCGCATTATGCATATATTTCCACATAGTGATGTAGATATGTGGGGGCGTGTTAGAATGAGCCGTTTTAGGGGGGCGTGGCAGAGTCTTAACTTTGATAAAGAATATCTCTTATGTTTTGAGACTTTTGGGATCTTATCTATGCACAATCAGCTTGTAACACTCCAAAGAGAAAGGAAAACTTGAAATCGCATCATATGACCCCTTTAAGGTTTGTTAATGCTTGTCTCACTCAGATGAGGGTGATTTTTATTTATTATTATTATTATTATCATTATTGTTTTTGTCCTGCACAGACAACGCCCTCACACAGTGCCTTAGAAAAACACACTATAAACCTATTTATCAACATGATCTTTTGCAATACAGACATTTATGAAACAGCACAAGATACTGAAATAAACTCATCGCCCTGCTTGTTAAAAGGCTCTTGGGCTGATGCAGATTAAACACCAACAGTAAATACACTGTACAGTAAAGCTGACACACTCTGAGGTTTACACTATGAAAATTCAGTCTATTTTTAAGATTTACACATTTAAATTAGATGACCAATTTCCATCAAACTGAACAGAGTAAATGGTATCATGTTTCTAGATAAAGTGTAGACTGTGCGGGAATGCACATTTTCCTTTTAACATTTTATTTGTAACGGGAAATTACAAGATAGTTGTAACAGTTCGTAGTCACGGGAAGAAGGAGGCGGGAACTGACGAACGTTCAAAAAAATTTGTAATAATAAAATAAACACAAAATAGCGCGACAGCCCCTCGCGGACAACTGTCGCACACAAACAGAACCAAAGCACAAAATATAATCCAGGCCTGGTCCTCCCCGCCCCACTTGTCACATACCCCCATCGCCCCTCGCAGGCCGGGGGGTACTCCCGAGACTGTGCTCTACTCCCCCCCTCCTCCCTCCGGGGGAGCCGATCACGGCGGCCGCAGCGTACCTGGGGGTAAGGACAGACGAGGCGAGAGAAAAGGGGATGGAAGGATGAGGAGAGACAGATACAAGAGAGGGGAGAGAGGAAAAGAAAAAAAAAATGATCGGTCCGGTTCCCGGACACACTGCAGCTTGGTCCTCAACCGGCTGAGAGGCTCTCACTCGCGGTGCCATGCGATGGTACTGGACATCATTGGTGGACGGCCCACCGCTCCTCCGCCTCCTGGCGGACGGCGATGGCTCTTCCTGTTGAGGGCAGCCGGCAGCGAGTCCCCCGTTCCCTGCTCCTCCCCAATCATGGCGGATGGCAGCAGGCGGCTTAGAGGCTCTCACTCGTGGTGCCATGCGATGGTACTGGACATCTTTGGTGGACGGCCCACAGCTCCTCCGCCTCCTGGCAGACGGCGATGGCTCCTCCTGTTGAGGGCAGCCGGCAGCAAGTCCCCCATTCCCTGCTCCTCCCCAATCATGGCGGAGAACGAGGCCGACTCCTCCGCTCCCTCTCGGACAGCAGCCACCCCTCCTTGACCCAGGAGCGCGGCAGCGAGCTCTCCGTCCCACCTCGTCTTCCATCATTTCAGCACAACCACCTCGGGCAGCCACCGGCGGTCTCGCCGCTTGTTCCTTCTGCCTGATCTCCTCAGCACCCTGACCCCCCTCAGCAGCAAGGGCTCTCTGACAGCGTGTCCCTCCTTCCTCCCAGGTTTCAACACCAATGTAACATAGTTCGTAGTCACGGTAAGAAGGAGGCGGGAACCAGCGAATATTTAAACAAAACTTTAATAATAAAATAAACACAAAACGCGGTTCGTAGTCACGGGAAGAAGGAGGCAGGAACCGGCGAACGTTCAAACAAAACTTTAATAATAAAATGAACACAGCAGCGATGGCTCTCAGCCCCTCGCGGACGACTGTCACACACAAACAGAACCAAAACACAAAATAAAATCCAGGCCTGGTCCTCTCGCGTCTTTCACTGTCGTAGCTCCTCCTTGTATCCTTCCGGAGCTCCTCCATGGGACTCGAGACCGGTGAGTGGTGCAGGTGTCGCTCATTATCAATTACTCCACCGGCCTCGCTCCGTTCCCATGGCTCTCGGCCCCGCCCCCACTCGTCACAATCGTCATCCAAGAACTTTTTTGACAAAAAAAAATCTGAAGATTAGTATAGAAGTCTCAGATGTATGGTGGACTCGAAAGAAAGGACAGACGGGAGGTCAGTCAGGCAGGGGATAAAACCCAAAAAATCAGTCCAACACAGTCAGTACTGGAGGATGAGACGAGAGTGAAGTCAGAGATCATGAGCAGTATCATCAGAAGGTGATCACAGCCGATCAAAAGCCAAAGAAAAGCACAAGTTCAGAGTGGACAGGGCAGATCTGAATACTGAAACCCTCTACTGATCTGGGCAGAAAACCAGCATGAAATCATTACAAATAAACAACAATTACTAGAGCGATCGACAGTAGAAGGTGAGGGCACACAAAGACTCAGAGCAGAGCGAGTGCAGATACAGGTAATAATGAGAGAAACAGGTGAAAAACCAACGAGCAGCTGATTTCCAGTGACATCACATCCAGTCCTGACAGGTGCATTTCTGCACTTTACAAAAAATATTGGTAGAGGCACATTTTTCAAATGAGCCCATGTTGCAATGATGACACACCGATTGTGCGACAGACACAATATTAATATGCAGTTTTGCATCATTTAACATGTTAAGATTTAGAATATCTTGTTCATCTGAAAGAGGAATGTCAGATATGCCTAAGATGCCCTGAGGGTAAGTAAATCATGGGCTAATTTTAATTTTTGGGTGAACTATCCCTTTAACTTCTGAAGACGTTTCGTTCACTTAGTCCACCTTCTTGTACTGGATAGATTATTATTTTATTTTTTTTCCCCACACTGAAAAAGCTGGATATATATAAAAAAAAATCTGGAATTATTCTTCTGTTTTCTGGTTTCTTTTAGCTGCACACGACTGAAAGATGAAGCTCGCTGGATTTATGCTCCTCCTCGTCAATTCAGCGGCCTCCATCAATCTCAAATACATCTCCAAGAGGAACTCAGGTATGACTGCCATTTTACTGCACTTACAGCGTCATTTCGGACCAGGAGCATGTGTTGAAAAGTTTGATGTAAGCTCTCAGTGTTGTATTTTGTGGAGGTCAAGCCTCTCCTGCTGTTTGCTTCCATCTGGAGGAATGATGGGACTATGGATTAAATGCAGTGTTTTTATCACTGGTGAAAAAAGACACTTGGATTCAGTTTGAACTGTTTACAAAAAAGGAACGGAGTGGATTTTGATGAGATTTCTCTGTGAAATGTTGTGTTTTTATAGTGAAGAACCTAGGCTCTCCACACGATCACATAACTGTTTTTCTCCTGCTGCATTGTGTGTGTGTTTGTGTGTGGGTGCCGTGTGCGTTCAGCAATTATGTTATCAGCACCAAACGGGCATTTATGTGGGCGGTAAAAACAGAGAGGCAATCTCGACTGTCAGTTTCTCACCCAGCCACAGATTTCAGAGTTTGGCATGTACGGTTTACTGTGCCACCAAATAAGCAGAAATGTTTCCTGTGTTTTAATATGCATGTGAGACGCTGGTTTATAGCAGTGTGTGTGTGTGTGTGATGCTGCTGTATTAAACGTGAAGTAGTAGTGCTTTATTGTGCTATCATGATACCAGCATCACTGGATTGTATGTGCTTTGAAACTTTGCATTGCAGCACAGGGATGAAACTCTGATTATGATTCTGAGGTATAGCATTATGTAACCATGAGTTGCATTTGCCAAAGGAAAGCTAATGAATGCTAAAAAGAACATGTAATGACACGATTTAATCATCACATGTTTGTCTGATTAGGGTTAGAGTATGAGATGTGTGAAATGTCTCCTCCTCAAATACCAGTAAACTGACTAGCGCAAACCTTAGTAAAACATGTTGCGTGAATACTCTCCTCCCATAAATTTTGCATCTTAAAGGGAAACTCTTACAAATGCATATGCAATAAGGTCAGCCGCAAAAATAACTGTCCACAGCTTTTCATCACTAATTTTTCACTTTGCATCTTTAGTAAATCCTGACAGTAGTTTTCCAGTAAATTTCCTGCCATTGCCTGCGGTCATCATACATCATTTTCTTTGCAAGTCAATGATTAGCTAATATATGTTAACATTTCATACATACCATATGCTACATACACATCATATTTCATTACTTGCTTTGTTTTGATTTGCCACACTTTAGGTTGTATTGTGCCAAATACACAACAAATCAAGTAAGATGTGCTGATATTTCTCAAATTTGAGAACTACTTAAACTGTCTGTGCTTTTGTGGTAAATCTCTGCAGCTGTGAGACACACAGTATTATATGCGGGCAGCAAAGCTGTGGGCAGTTTTTATCATGTGTTTATCAGCCATTCTTATCCAACACATTACAACGTCTCAGGTTACTTATGTAACCATGGTTCACTGAGTAGGTAACGAGACACTGCGTCCTCTAGGGGTCGCTATGGGGAACGCCTCGTCGTGACCCGTGTCTGAAGCATACATTGAAAAA